CGATACCCGTCCCGGTTGATCTTCCATGCCGGATAAGTCCTTATAAGGCGCTTAATGAAGTCTGCCGGCACTGATCCTGCACGAGTTAAGATGAGAGACTGGCCGATTCAAGCATACATCGTCTTCCATATCTGGTAATACATGGGATGTCCGTGGGAGCCGCTGGGAGAAAGGAATCAGGCCAGCCATGTGTTCGACGTATATCAGGTGAGCCCACCCGACATTGCGACATACTCGGTGTGCTGCCAACCTGTCAAAAGAAACACAAGCGAGTGCGAAGGGGAAGGGAAAGGGCTGAAGGTTGCAAACCGGAACCCGGCAGCTTGGCCATCATCACAAACTTGACAGCCATGCCGAAATCACGAGCGTCATAGTCTTGCCGAGGCGGTGACACCGTCTGGTCCAGTTGGCACTTCTGGCAGGTCGCTGGCATTTTTCTGTGCCAGGTTATTGAAGATAAGCGGGCGAGGCGCGACATGCTCACTTGCGATTGGCTCATCATGAGCACAACTCTGTTTGTGTTTCGACTGAACAACGGCCGGTCCGCGCAACAATTCGTTTCAGCTTTGATACTACAACCAGTCGCGGGCAGCAATTTCTAGCTGATCAACAGCCTGTGCCCCTTGCAGAGCCTCCAATGAAGCGGGAGAATTCCCCGAAGGAAAGAAGTTTATTGGCTCCCCCGCAACGTACTGGGCATCCCGTTCGTGAGCTTATTGCACTAGTCCCCGTCGTAGAGATGCAGGCACAAAGACGACCCAGTGGCTTATACAGTTCCTGATGAACGTCAAGGGTGACCCCTCAACCTACACATGTCATCCCGCACAACGGCAGCATTCCATAACTCATCCGAGTTATTGCCTGCTGCCATCTGCCTCATTGGGAGCAGACCGTTAGACCTCCGGAGCCGGAATGTGGACTGGCAGCCTGCTTGGGCGCTCCCGTGCCAAGCTGTCTCCTCGAGCTGTCCCAATCAGGACCACCATGCGGCCAGGGACAGCACCAAGAACCTCCATTGCGTCTCACTACCCAAAAAAGGAAACTCTAAGGAGAAAAGTAGCTACCGGCCACACACATCCTACACTCAAGCTTCAACGCCCCAGACCGTCCCGAAAAGGAAAGTAGAGGGAGAAAGCAGGCGCTGAATAGCCTTGTCTAGTTGAACCCAGATACTCATAAAATCGTGCAACAGCCACACTCCATTTCCTGTTCGAGTCTTGTAGTTGTCGTCGTTCTCCACACTATTCAAATCCATACTACCGCTAGCGGCCCTTCGAATCTGTTATCTCTTCGATCGTAGTAACTTAATCAACAACTCTCAACCTCAACCGAATATGTACGTTTTCCAGATCCTCATCGTCGCCCTCCAGGCGTGGGCCATCACCGCTTCGCCAATCTTCCCTCGCCAACGCGATGTCATCACCGGGGCTCTCGGCATGGTTTCAGACTCTCTCTCCAAGCTCGATACGGCCGTCAAGGGCCTCTCCGCCAGCGACCCCAACTCCGCTGTCGCCGTTCTGAACGCTGCTCAAGGCGCGCAGACCGCACTCGGTTCCGCCACATCTACGATTGACGGTGCAAACAACCTGGGTCTCTTTGGTGCTCTTGGCCTTCAGCAGACTGCCACTGGCCTCGTGGACCAGGTCCAGACCACCCTTGGCGATCTTGCTCAAAAGAAGCCCGTTTTTGACCAGCTCGGAGTCACACCAGTCGTCAGGGACGCCCTTGCGCAGCAGAAGGCGAGCAGCGGACAGCTTGGCGACACTCTCCTGGCCAAGGTGCCTGCGATCGCGCGCCCGATTGCGCAGCAGAGCACCGGCCAACTTACTGAAGCCATTGACGGCGCTATCGCTGCGTTCTCTGCGTAGTTGATGGTCAGGTACGACGGCCGCGCTGGGTTTCGCGGCGGGATTACAGATTGGCAGACGTCAAGAAGCAGGTATTTGTGAGGGAGGTGGAAGTGAGGTGGTGAAGTGGATGAGAAAAGAGATGCAGGAGATGGAAGGGCCCGAAGGCGCGGATTGGGATAGGGGGAAAGGAGGAGGAGGCCGGAGAAGATCATCGATGTCGTGAATCGAGGGGAGACGGGGATGGAAATTTTGTGGAGGCCATGTAATCGAATCGAACTAATTCGCATTCGCCCTCGAGTCCCTCGTGAACGAGACAGCATCATGCAGACAGCATTTATGAGTACTACGGCCACCGAAAACAGACGGTAATTATATTTTCTACCAACCAAGTCGTCGCAGTTCAGTGTGAAATCGTGATATGAACAAGACGATATCTGTGCTCAACTATGGAAATTCCTCCTACTGCCAGATGTCGCGTAGAGACATACAAGCTATACTTGAAAGACAGCACTTCGTTCGAGAACTTCTGGCATCTTCAGTGTTGTTTTCATCATGTTCCTCAAGGTTGACGTCTGGTACACTCGCGCGACTTATTATGGGCATGTCAGAGTGAGTCGCAGAGGCCCGGAGTCAACCGAAGCTCCTACTCATCAAGCACCGTCCAACGGCAACTCACGATACTCTCAGGACGTCTCATTCTCACCATCACTGAAGTCTCTGCCAACTATCGTGAGCCCGACAACCTCGCAACACGCCGTTCGAGTCAGCCTTTTCGAAAGCCTCTCACAGACTTTCTCACCGGGCGCACCCCCGGCGCGAGCCATGAACCAAGCGCAAAGCTTACCAACCAGAGTTGCTTTAGAGGCAAAAAGCGTAAAGCCCAGCTGCAACGATGCTGAGACTCCAGCCAACGAGATCGCCCTGGTTTCTAGGGACCGGGCCGTTACGAAACAGCAGGCATGTCCCTGACCAACGTCAGCCCAACGGCCGATGTAGGGCAGATTTTAGCATCGGTTATCTTTGCCTTTGCAGGTGTGCGGCCCTGTTTAGGTTGGGCTGGCAGGGGTCAACCCTCCTGATCCCGGCGATACGTCGCATGTTTATGGAGTAAAGGTTTCTATACTGGTCACTGTCAGGGTATTCTTGCCATCATTGTCGGCTTGGCGTTGCGGCTTGTGAGACTCCACTCGACCTATCAACTGTTGAGTGCCGGATGATGTCTTGGCGATGTCTTTGACCCCGTGTGGGACATGCTGCTTGGCAACGGTTTTCCCACAGGTTGAGCTTGATGGGAACAGAAAGCTTTTTCGTCATGACACCCGTCAAAATCTAGCACTACAATGCTCTGCTCACTAAACAGAGTTGGCGGCTAGAAGAGGGGTTCTATGTCTCTCCGCACTTACACACGTGTGCCCGGAAGGCGGTAGCAGTTGATGTGGTGTGGTTCTCTACTAATGCCAATCATGCCAAAGCCTTTTTACCTTGACGTAAGCTCAACCTTTAACGGTTCAAGGAACTCTCAAGTCGGAACCATTCCGACATCAAGCCCCGCCGCACTCGGCCGTCGCAAGCATAAATTCCCGCTGGACTAGGCGCCAACCGGGAGGAATAAGGGTGGCTTGTCTATTGGGTCCCTTTCAGACCATTGAACTATCCTCCTGTCAGGCAGGCTTTTGAGATCCCGCCTAACCCGTTCTAGAAATTTGACAGAAACTCAGAAACTTTGAAGCTAATGCAATGTCAAGTGATCCCACTTCCTCCGCTTAATCAAACCTGCCGTCCTTGCGGCCGTTCCATCTGCCCGGGTTTTTGACAAGTGGTTTCTCTAGCAGCAACTTGGTTTTGAGGCTGTGCAACCAAATGTCAACCGGGGATTTTAATGCGCGAATATGGCCCCGGCACAATAGGTTGGTGTCAAAGCGAGTGTCATAGGTGTCAAAGAGTCTGACAGGCATAACAACACACTGACATCCATCTCACGGACAATGCAATGTGAGCGCTTTGATAGGATGCTGTCGAGATGAAATGCCAGATGCCCTATGAAAGTTGGGTATGGTATATGTGAGATGACATGAAAGTATCGCGCCTATTCAATAAATTCCGTCACGGGGAACGCAGGATAGCGCGCTGTCAGTTAGTGCTGCCGAAGTGTTCCGACGATTCTCCAAGGCCTCAAGCCCAGAGCTAACAATCAGGATTTTATGCTCATTGTAATGCAGCAAATCTGATGGATTCTGTTTTATACAGTGCAGATTATGAAATCCAAGTATGAACGATGTGCATCAGTTCACTTGATACTAGGGCGCAAAAGGTATGTGTTCTCAGCAGCTTGGTTGGAAACCTCGAACTTCATGAAGATTGGACGCTTTCCTTTTGTCTAGTTGATGAATACTGTTCAGTGTTTTATTCCGATGCGTGAGGTGGTCAGAATGTTATCGTTGTTGGCAGTACGATCGTCGAAAACAGCTTTGTATGTCCAAGGACCAGTGTCTGATTACTCTCTCCAGACCTTTAATGTGGAGACCGACTCTTTTCCTGTGCTAGAGCGACTACTTATCCTGTGCTTGCACACCTTCCTCTGCTGTACTGCTATCGTCATCGTTACTACCTTCGATACCATCGTCGTATTCGTTGTCTTCGTCGTCGTTGTCATTTACCCCCGTAATATGGGAAATCGAGTACACGGGAAATATACGAGATGCTTTGCAGATGGCAAATCGCCTCAGGTTCTATTGAAATATTTGTCTCACTGTGGTGCTTGTAATGGGCAGCCGCCTGTGAGTGTGCCTTTGATACCATCGGAAGAGCGCGGCACGAGCTGGGACGGCATAAATAGATCAGTGAAAGTGGCGGGGTTAGACGAGGCTATAATCAATCGGGATTCATGGCAACATACGTATTGCTTACAGTTGGGAGTTGCTCTGATGCGCGCTGAAAACCTGTGACTATTGACGCGAATTTGAACACTCACGGAAGGAACGACCCTAGGTCGCCACCTGCTCTGAGTCCGTATGGAAAGAACGACGTCAAATTTTAACAACTTCTTTCCTCTTTGATCCTAACTTCTACACAAAAACAATTTCCATCCAACCTTCACGTCCGGCGACACCATCAATCTTGACCACGCAACGACCCCGACCACGAACCACCATGACGAGGTGCGAGACGAGGATGAATAGGCGTACGATGAATACACGTTCGACGACAGCCAGCGGCAACGACAAGAAAAACAGGAACGGCGATGGCGCGACGAAGCAGGGACAGAAAACGAAGAGGGCGAAGAAGGCGAAGAGGGAGGATTCCGCCACCAAGCGCTACAGGCTTAAGAGCCTGGATCTTCAGCAGAAGATCAGGCTTGCCCTGGAGGCCAGGCGGATGGCGTCTTTAACCAATCGTCAAATTCCGAGGGAGTTCCAACCTTCCTTCCGAGGCAGTGGAGGCATCCCAGCTCCTGCTTTCATTGTTGGTCTAGAGCTTATGGGATGGCGCCGATGTCATAACGAGAGATGGAAAAGGATGACACCCAAGGAACACGTTCGCATGCAACAGCAAGTGCTCAAACAGATCGAAGCCCGCCCATCTGAGTTTGACGCATCCACTGGGAAACGAATCCCCTCGGCTCGTTCGATGCTCGGCAAAGGTGGCATACTTCCACCTGAAGGGCTGACTGTCGATGAAAGATCTGCTTGGCACAAAGCACACAATGCCCTCTGGGAGAGGCTGAGCGAGCGAGAACGCTGTGAGATGAAGCAGCAGCAAACTTCCAACGACCACTGTTCCCGAAACGATGCGCCCAAAAACAACACGGAGGTCGAAGTCGCGAGGGAACAGAAGGCACCTAATGCTACAGCAGCCCAGGAGGGCATCGATTCCGTCCGCACGTCGAACAAGCGAGCTCGATCCCCTGAAGGCTCTGACGCCTCGTCAGACTCTTTCTACTACGATGCTGAGGAGGTCATCACCGACAAGGAGTCCATGACAATGCCCCCGAGCCGAAAGCGAGTCCGCTTTAACGACTCAGGGCCAACAGAGGCCACCGGAGAACACCTCGGGCAGCGACTTGAGAATGAAGATGCCACGGCGGCCGAGCAGGAAAACCTCACAACGCGTCCCGACGACCCAGGGTCAGGAGTGACAGCCCAAGAATCCCTCGCACCTGGCCTTGAGATCCTAGAGCTAGCCGAAAAGTCCCTCGCGCCGCGCGTCTTCGTAACTCCGAACCCGAACGTCAACCAGCCTTTCATACGCGTCGTCAACATCGACTCAGAGGCCGAGTTCACGCAGAAGATGAATGATGACGACGATACACCGGTCAGCTACTTCGACTTTGGGCCCAATTTCCAGCTTTCGGAGTACGTGTCTCCCCCTACCTTTGCCCTCGTCCCTCATCCCTATCCTTACCGTCGTCCCCCATCTCTCCCTCTGTCCTCGTCTTTCATCCCTACGTTTGCCCTCGCCCCTCTTCACCTTTAACGAGGTATTCAACTAATAATGGCAAAATAGCGTCCACATCCACGAAATCCTCCTTCGCCGCCCCTCCTTCTTCCAGAGCGTCGTCCAAATAACCGCCGGTTCCCCCGAGATCCGCCTCCCGCTGACCGACATCGGCCTTGTGCGCCTCGTCAGTGCATGCACCATCCTCGAGAACCTCAGCATCCACGGCGGCATCCACTTCTCCGACCGCAGCGTCGCGGCAGTGATCTCCAACTGCAAGTACATCCGCCACCTCGCTTTCTGCGGTGCGGACTTTGAGCCGAACTCCGTATACGGAGCTGCGTTGCATCAGCTGGTCGGACTCCCGGTCGCGACCAACCTGAACAAGATCGTGCTGAAGAACACCCGAGTTAACGAGGCGATGGTGAAGAGGCTTCGGGATGAGAGACCTGCGTTGAAAATCGGTAATTCTGGCTGAGTAGAAGGAGGAAGGTGGACGGCGTCGAATTGCGTCCAGATCTGAGGGCTACATTGTTAACTTTCTCATTGCTGTGGTGTCAGTATAATTAGCTAGTTGCTTCAAACAGGCGTGAATAACACGGTCGAGTCATCACTAAAGCTGGCCAACAAACGTATTTCTAACAAGATTAAATCGGCGTTTATTCGAGACCTCTGCTGTATGAGCTGTATATCTATCCCACCACTTCCCTTGCGCCGCGTTATGCATTCCGTCTATCCGTACTGTACACTTTACATTACACATTTGGTGAAAGGAGATCGTACTTGACGCATCGCTCGACCTGTGTCTCGTCAGTCTGGGTATCTCGTCAGTATTGGGGGATTTACTCACATCTTCAATGCTAGCCTGCAAGAACCGTCGCGTCTCCAGGCCCATCCACACCACCAGCATGCTAAAGTCGCCATGCTTCGCCATCTCCGTGCCGCTCTGCGCGCTCAGCTGCCGGAGGATGGGCAGCGAGCTGCTGAGGAGGTCCATATCGGGGTTTAAGCTGCGTCCAATACCCTCGAGAAGGAGAATGCTAATGACGACGTTGACGAAATCACCCTCCAGCCTGACATGGTGACCGCGGACCATGCCGAGGACCTCCTGCAAGATGTCGCCGATCTTGATGTTGCCGAGGGCGAGGGTGCGGCTCTTAACGCCGAGGACGAGGTGCTGCATCTTGAGCGCGAAGATCTCCTTGTTGAGCACGGCATCGGGCTGGCGGCAGCGCTCGCACATGAGGTTGCCGGCCTTGTAGCCGTCGAACTCGGCGACGGCGCGGAAGAGGTCGAGGAAGTTGCGGCGGTTCGTCTCGTTGAGCTCGGTGACGAGGCCCGTGTCGATGAAGATGAGCTGCGGGCGGAAGCCCTCGCGGTCGATCTTGGCGAGCTCGGCGTCCCAGGCGGCTGGGTCTGCGCGGTGGCGGTAGGGACGCAGGCGCGCGAGGACTTGCTCGGTGACGTCGTTTTGCTCTTGCGGGTGGTGGTGTGTTGTCGCCCGGCGGAATCTGAGGTCGGGCTCATCGGACTGGTAGAAGCGCACCATGATGTTGCCTGGGTGCAGGTCTGCGTGGACAAAGTTGTCGATGAGAAGCATGCGGAGGAAGGCGTCGAGGCCCTCGGAGGCGATGTCGTGCTGGAAGACGCCGCCGCCGTTCTCCATGAAGTCGGCGAGAGGGATGCCCTGGGCGAACTCCTCGACGAGGACGTTGCGGGTGGTGAACTCGGTGTAGGGGTAGGGGAACCAGGCGGTGCTGCGGTCGGTGAAGTTCTTGCGGAACTTTGCGAGGTTGGCGGCCTCGATGCGCAGGTCGAGCTGGAGCTTCATCATCTCGCCGAACTGGGCGACCTCGTCGGGGAGGGAGAGCCACTCGATGGTGGGGATGGCATTGAGGGCGGAAGCGAAGAAGTGCATGATACGCAGGTCGCGGCGGACGATGCGCTCGACACGCGGGTGGAGGACCTTGACGGCGACGTAAGTCGAGGGGACGCGTTTGGGCGTGCTCTTGAGGGCGGCGTCGACGTTCTTGGCAACCTTCTGCCGCAGAGCTTTCGGCTCGTTGGGGAGGTCGGCGTTGGGGGCGGCGAGGTCGGCCTTGAGCTTGGCCTTGTATACCTGCGCGATGGCGCCGACACCGAGGGGCTCCTCGTCGAACTCCTCGAAAATGTCCGCAAAGTCACGGCCGTCGAAGGCGGCGGAGACGATGAGCTTAGTCTGACGGATGGAGTGCGCCGGGGCGTTGGAGTGGAGTTTGGACATGATTTCGCACATTTCGTTCGGGAAGATGTCGGATCGCGATGCCGCCCATTGACCGAGCTGCTCTACGTCAGGGGTTGCGGATGATCTGTCGACGTGATGCTCACCTTGATGAAGGCCGGGCCGGCCCATTCCATCGATTGAACCAGGAAGCCGTACCACCACAGTGTTCCACTCCGCTCATTGTCCCGGTCAGGTTGCCGCCTCCCGATCCATATTGCGGGCACGGCAAGGAGGACTGGAACAAAGATGGCGGCCAGATGGAGAAACCGCACGCCGGTGCATATGGGCTCCCAGATGTAGACGTCCACCACAAGTTTCAGCGTGTGCCAGACCCTCGATACCCCCCGATCGTCGTCGGCGACCGCCTTCTTAATCTCGGAGCGGCTGGCCGCCAACATGCGCTTCTCCCCCGTCTCATCGGTGCCCTCGTTATCCTTCTGCGACAGCTCGAAGAAGGCCGCAGTGCCCAGAGCACTCACGCCCGCACCGCCCGCGCGCAACGTATACCGCGTGTACTGCTTATTCCGCCAGGGTATGCGTCGCGCCTCGGGGCTGCGAAAGGCCCCTCGGAAGGTGGAGTACAACCGCGCGTTGCTACTGTTGCTGCTTGGTGCTCGGAAGCCCGGACGTGGACAGAACCGGCCCAGGACGAAGGCCAGTCTCATCTCGAGGGAGGGATGGTGTTGGAAGAGCGGGAGTTTGGTGTCATTCTCAGCGATTGGAGCGGTGGTTGCGAACCGGAGCTATTCGGGGGCGGTCTGACGATGACGGGGAGATGGGAGTTTGTCGCGCGGGATCGCGGGGAGCAGGGGACCGGGAATGGACGCTTTGGGATGGTGGTGACGTAGGGATTTCGCGGGTGGAATTCTGCGCGGCCTGCCGCAGTACGAAGATCGGGGAAATGTCGGGGAAATGTCGGGGAAACATGTGGCTGCCAATCGATGACACTCCATCCTTTTTTTTTTTGTTTTTTTTTTTGTCCCTCTCTGGGCAAGGCGATTCCGCCCGCGCGGAAGGAGCAGCGTCGCGGGTCCATCCGATGGCGCGAAACGGGCGACTGGGACCGCTGGAAATTTTGGCGAACCACTGCGGTGCACGTCGATTACGATTACCACCCACTGCAGAGCCCGAATCCACCATCGGCAGAAGCTTCCATTCCACTTCTTTATCCGCGATTATTCCTTATCGACTTCTTTGCGACGCATTTTTTTATTTTCCCTCCCGCCATCCTCAGCGAACACCGTCCACCCTTCGCCGCGATACCCTCCGGTCCTGTAGAATAATACCGAATACCTTCTCTACCTTGTCTACCTATCGCACACCATGGGCTGGTTTTGGGCCGACGCTCCTGCGCATCCCCACGGCGCCCTCCCGTCGGGCTCGCCTCCAGTATGTTTCCCTCATCTCATGCCCCTCCATGTCTAGATGCTTACAGCATACCAGCCCAGCTGCCCGATGCACAAGAAGACAGCCGAGGCCCTGAACACGACACCAAAGCCCTCCGCCTGCCCCATCCCTCACGACCAACGCCACTTCGCGACACCACCACCTCCGCCATCAGCATGCCCTGTACCCCACGACCAGCGCCACGCCGGCCCTCCCCCGTCCTCATGTCCCGTCCCCCACGACCAACCGAAGCCCGAGTCCAAGTCCATCCTCTCCCAGCTGAACCCCCTCAACTACATGTTCAAGGACATCTCCCAGGCGCCCGCCCAGAACCAGGCCATGGCCTTGCCCACCGAGCGCGAGCCTTCGACGATACCAAAGGGCTCCGGCGACGGTAACTGGGAGTACCCCTCGCCCCAGCAGATGTACAACGCGCTGCTGCGCAAGGGTTACACCGACACTGACATCACTGCTGTTGAGTCCATGGTGTCCGTCCACAACTTCCTCAACGAGGGCGCCTGGGCCGAGATCGTCGGCTGGGAGGACCGCTTCAGCCAGGGCCTGTACAAGGGCTGGCAGGTCTGCAAGCGCGGCGAGGAGAACTCGGAGGCGGAGCTCGAGAAGATGAGGACCGGCACTGAGGACATCCCCTCCCTCGTCCGCTTCCAGGGCAGGCCCAAGGACATGACTCCCAAGGCTATCATGTGGCAGGTCCTCGGAACCCTCTACCCCTCAAAGTTTGAGTAAGCTGCGCCTATACTGAAGGAGAGAACATCGGTGCTAACGTTCAAAACAGGACCGAGCCCCCCTTCGACCGCCACGACTGGTTCGTCTCTCGCAGGATCGGCGGCACCACCAAGGAGATCCGCTACATTATCGATTACTACTCCGGCGAGGCCGACCCCGACAGCGACGAGCCGGTGTTCTACCTCGACGTCCGCCCGGCCATGACGCCCCTCGGCGCCGCGGAGCGTCTCATCAGGTGGGGCAGCGATGTCTGGTGGAAGGCCTCGGGCGCCGAGGTCCGCGAGCGGGAGCAGCTCGAGCAGCTGCAGCAGAAGAAATAAACACACGCGAGGACTGATCAATCACCAAAGATGGAAAATGCCTGTGCGACTTGTAATAACTTGTTTTTTTAGACGCCCAGCATTGTTGTGCGAGGGCCGGTTGATGGCGGCGTTTTGTTATTACGAAAGTGTGTGGATGCCTGGCGGTCTCGGTGCTTGGGATCCAGAAAAAGGATTTGCTCTTCCTTCTCCCCTCTTCCTCGTGTCTTCTAATCCCCCCATATGGACTTCCTGTACAGTATTCCATCACCGGCGGTCACGTCTCACGTCCTTTATATCTTCAACGCCGAGATGAAATGGTCAAATAATGATTCAAATTCCACATTACTTCCACTACTTGACTTGCACTACATCCCCCAAATATTACGTCTTAGGTAGTCTTGGCCGCCAGCGCAGTGACCTGGTCCAGCAGCGCCTTATCCTCCTTGGGCGCGTTCTTCAACACCTTGTCCCTGAGATGGTCAACCTGCTGCCCCGCCGCCGTGGGCGGGTTTCCCTGCGCGGTCGCAATGCGCTGCACCTGCATGCTCAGAAAGAACTTGGGCACCTTGATCGCCAGGTTGCCGCCGACGCTGCGGATGCCGGCCTCGGTGGCCACGTAGGCGTCGAGCTGGTTCTGGAAGGTAGCCAGGTCGTTGGACGCGAGCGGCTCCGTGGTGGCGAACTTGTCGAGGGCGAAGGCGAGCGGCGTCTGGCCCTTGGCGTCGGCGAAGTTGATGGCCGAGAACTTGACGCTGCCGGCGGAGACGTCGGGCACGCCCGAGAGCGTCTTCTTGGAGATGTCACAGGTGACTTTGTTCTGGAGCGAGGTGACGGCGTCGGAGACTTCCTGGGGCAGGACGGTGTTGCCGACGATGAAGCAGGCGTTTTGGCGGGGGGCGAGCTGGGGTGCTGGAAGGATGTGTCAGTAATATGATACATGCGGATGACAGATGGGAAGGAGAAGGAACTAACCTGCCATGGCAGCACCGGCGCCGGCGGCGAGGACGATGAGAGAGAGCTGCATCTTTACTTGATTAAAACAACTTGTGTTTGAAAAGAGAAGAAGGGAATGTAGTTTTTGCAGAACAGTGGAATTCAGAACCAGAATTGAAAACCTTGCCGGAAGGATGGAAAAAAGAACGAATGGAATACTCTTCAAAACACTTCTCACGATGTCCGGCGAGGGAGGAGGGACATGATCGCCTTTTAAGCATCACATCAGTTGCCAGGGGATGGGAGGATGGAGCAGGAGCAGGGAGGGCTCTTGGCAAATAAGCATAGGGCGCGGATCGCGGGACCCCCGGTTCGAGTCTAAACATCGCCAAAACCTGCACCAGGTGGTGGAGGTGGGTGGCCCATCGATAAACGAAGCCCACACGATGCCACCACTCCGTCCATCAGTCTGTCTCCTGACTCTCTTTTCTGGGATGCGAGGGAGGAAGACTGGGATGCTGCGCCTTGTCAGCATTGAGCCCAAATCTTAACGGATGATGGGTGCCGCGGGAGAGTCTAATTTGGCCATGGTGTGAAGGAGTCCGCGCGAAGCGTGGGCAATGAAGCATGGGCGAGATACATCATACCCAAAGACGGTCACAACAGAAAAAGGCAGAGCTCGCGCTTGCAACAGGAACAGTCTCGAGAGCTTGTCGGCGCGTGCTGCTTTCGGTAAGGCTGTCCCTGGATGCTGAGCCGCAACATCCACCCTAAGCCGTTTTCTCTCTCTTCCTCTGCCCCTTCTCCAGGCTTATTCCTGACCATCAGGTTCCTTGCACCTGTCAGGTCTGGGACGGCGTCGTCTGAAGAGAGATGCGACGTGGTGGGGTGTTCGACTCTTCTCTCGCTTCAGATCCGACGAGCCCCGGCCCCCTGCGCGGCTCCACACCGGACGGTTTCAGGGGATGGAGAAGCCAATCACGGAATGAGAAACAGGGATGGGTGGTGTTGCAGAGTAGGGGGATCTTTGGGCGGCTGCGACGTGCTTCACGGGGTTCTCGCTTTTTGGCTTGGGAGGTTTTGGGTGGTGAGGACGGAGGTTGAGGCCGCGGATGGGAGATGGGAGATGGACTTGGCTCGGTTGGTCGGCCGAAGGGGGTGTGCTATTGAGACGTGAGCGACGTATAGGTGCCGCTTGGATCGTACTTGTTTTCATTTCCCCTTTCTGATCAGCTTTTGCCGTGTTGATTGCGGAAGTACTGCCGTTGTTGGATCATAAATAACCCGCGGCACCCATGGTTGATGAGACAGTTTCCTCTGAGCTGGTTTGTGCTCCGCGTGAAGCGTGGTATTGGAAGCTTGGCGTTAGCATGAACAGGTGCTTGACTCTTCAAGATGGGCAGTTGATGCAGATGAGCCGGATCCCGACACGAGTTTCCCCCGACGTCAATGAATGACAGCGTGCTTGGCGTAGTATCTCTCGGCGCGGTTGTTGAAAATCGCCAAGATGGTGATGGAGATCTGTTTCTGGCCGTGTTGATGCACGCGACTCAGTAATCTATCTGGATGAATAAGCAGACAACAACACAAGTGACATGCGAATTTCTACGCAGCTTGTTCCGCCACAGCTAATCCGGCCTTGCTTGCACCTTTGTCGTCGATTTTTGGTTATTACCTCCGCGCCTAGCGCCTTCCTTCGAGCTCGGGACCGGTCGCCACAACTCAAAAGTGCGATAGATTGCGTGAGCCAGGATGATATCGTATCTGACCCCACACGCCGATTGGCCCAGGCTCTCGCGCAATATCGATCGGGGATGGCTGCAGTGAGCCCACTTCAAACCGACGATGGCGATGATATAAAATAAAATCACACCGTCTACAATCTGGACTATGAAGATTAACGCCAACAATTCTTGAATAATCCCTCAAGATCCAATCCAATCACAACCATAATGGCCTTCACCGAATTCTCCTACTTCGCCTCCAAATCCCGAGCCCCCTTCCCGGACCCCGACACCCCGGAGGGCAAGGACATCAAGCACATGCTCGAGACCGCCGCAGCGCAGCCCGGCGCGGGCCGGATCTACTGGGGCCACGCGGTCGAGAAGCCGCACCAGCAGTGGCTGTTTTTGGACTGGGATAGTGTCGAGGAGCATCTTGCGTACCGCACTACGCCGTGGGTTACTCCACTATGTTCATAAAATGGTGAACTAATCTTAAGATAGGGAACACGACGTCGTCGCGAAGAGCATGTCATCCTACCTCGACTGGACGGACGGCTACATCAAGCACATCGTCACCAAGCCCTGGCCGCCTACGATCCTCGCGGAGGCCCCTGTGACTGAGGTGCTGACGCTCTTCTTCCCCGCGGAGCTGGAGGAGGCTGCCAAGGAAGAGTTGAGTAAGCAGCTTGAGGAGTTTAAGGTGAAGGCGCACGATACGTCGCCCGACTTCAAGGGGATTGCATACGGATGGAGCAAGGAGAATGATGTTCCCATCACGGGCGAGGATGGCAAGACAGGGAATTTGTTGGTGGCATTTATTGGGTGGCCGAGTGTTGAAGCGCATTTGAAGTTTAGGGAGACGGAGGCTTTTCAGGAGAATATTGGCTTGTTGAGGGAGATGAAGGGAATTATTAAGTTGAGCGTAATTCATGTGGCTTGCAGGAGTTTGCTGTCTGCGGAGAAGAAGTAAAAGGGCTTGGGCCGTTTTCTATAGATCTCTCTACTGATATTATCGGTGTCTCGCTGCAACTTAAAGTCAACTTAATTCACTTGCCACCATGGTATTCTGGTATACGGAGAATGGTCACATATCATACGATATACCCTGGTTGAATGGGCACAAGCCAATAGCTGCGGTATTCTCCCTCAGCTAATCACAGAGATGGCGGGCGACGCCTTCGAGTCAATGGTATCACGATGATGGAAGCGACCAGGTTGCCCAGTCTTTTCCTTGAGGCTAGTTATCCTACAATACTCTCCGCCTCTTATAAAACCCCAATTGGCCCGTGTCAGTATCTTGAGATTCAATCAGCTCCTTGCTGTACATGGCCTGGCATTGATTGAGATTTCAAGCGGGTTGCGATGTTTAGCCATCAGTCGTTGGGGAGATTTGTGATCTTTGACTCCTCACGATTATGTTGACGTGCAGGTAGATTGAACCCCATCCCTCATTTCCGTCCTTCCAGTATCCCATCCTCAGAACTGCGATAGTCAGAGGAAGTTCTTACTCACCGCAGCCGCCTCCGACAAGTCGAGGGCCAAAAGCGATGATTGTTATGATGATCAACAATAAGTAAGAATTTGTGACCAATCCCTTGGGTGGAGTTTGAATCTGTTTGGTGGCATAGTCAACCCGTGCTGTTGGAAGCGAAGGCGACACGGCATGCTGGGGCTGATGAAAGGTGATGTATTCGTCGCAGTACGGCGGAAACTCAGAGAACGATAAAGATGAAGAGGAGAGCCGTGAGATTGAGAGTGATCGCTCTTTAGGCGTAGGCGGGTTCGAAGATGAGCCTTCGGACCCCAGCATCGAAGCTGCCGAGGGTCCAGCAACAAGAGTAAGCTGCAAGGGTAACGGGTTACTTTGCCCGATGGAGACTGAATCCAGTTCTACATCAATTTGCCATCCGTCAAGTTTCCCCTCACCAAGATCTCCTTCACCGAGATCACATTCACCGTCGCTAGTGTCGGTGCAGCTGATGTCGTCGTCATTGTCGTCGTCGAGTGGCTCGCCGAAGTGTGACTGCAGTATTCGGACTGACCCTTGGCATAGCCACGGGCCCGCCGAATATCGAGATGAACGGCCGTATGGCTCGAGGGACGTGTAGGGGATGGTATGTTTTTCTCCGATGTATACGTACGACTTCTTCCGCAACGAGGGGCATTCGGGACGCCTCTTCAGACGCCGTATGGACGATATGGGGTGGAGGGCGTCGTCGATGGGTAGGTAATGGGCGTAGTCCTCCTCGCGGTCGAGGACGTAGGCGACGGGCGTGTCCTTAAAAGACGTCAACTGTAGAGATGGTCAGTAAGACACTTTTCAATGGACGGTCAGAGGGGCAAGGGTCGTCATCAACCATGGCTATCTTCACACGGCCAACACCATCAGGCCGCGAGGAGACGATCACGCCGGGATGGTTGTAGCCTGTCCTCTCCAAGTCGGGCTTTAGGCGAGCGGTCATCCGGTTCTTCGGTGGAACGAATATGATCTTTCCAGCCAGGGGCTCTGTCGTCTCCTCCAAGAGTCGTCGCTTCTGTTGAGCTTTGGGAGGCATTGAGGGTTTCGAGAAAGGGGCGGTCGAGTTGGAATCCAGACACTTCGAGGTGTTGCTATGGAAAAGAGGATAAAGGGAAAGTATGTCATACTGTCCAAGCTACGCGAGATGCAAAGAATATTCACTGGGTAGCATGGTGCTTGGGAGTCGAGAAAACGTTGTACCCTGTCTAATAGGTGGCTCAATAATTCAAATTAGAGCCTCATCGAACTCATCCTCAGCCTTGTTATTGTGAGCTGCCAGCCTTGTCGGATTACACAGTCATCTCTGAATGAGTAACTCCATGCATACATGCTTTGATGCCGTTGAAACTCCTTTGATGCCTTTTGTCTCAGCATTCCTTGCTTTCCTTGTCCTCCTTGTCTACCAAAACCCGAAAGCCAACCAAAAGCCATACCAAAACAGGGCCTCCAAGCAAAGAATGGCCACCAAAATGCCGGCCATCAGACAGAAGAAGCCCTTGTCCAGCATGGTGTTCACCTTAGCCATGTCCCTCTCCTTAACTGCCATCCGTTGAATCTTCCTGGCCATCCGCTCGTCGGCCTTCTCCTTCTTGGCCACCTGTCGTTGCTCCTTCTTCTCCTGGCGCCCTGCCTCTCTCTGGTCCCAGAGGGCCCTGCGCTTCTCCTTCAATTCATCTTTCTCGATCTTCCGCTTCCTTCTCTCGATAGCCCGCTGCTCCCTCAAGTAATCGTCTTCCTCGGTGTAGCCCATCTCAGTGACGAGGATACCGAACGACTTCGAACTAAGACTGTTGCCTTGATGTGCTCTCAGCACGTCGCGGTGAATTGTGTAAGGTCCTCCTTGTAACATCACGTATGCCGGTCTGTAGGCTTTCTTGCTTGGGATAGGTCCCGCCAAATGGAGCTGTAGGCCCGAGTCTGCGTGGGGAGGCGTCGGGGCGACGGGTAGGTACTTCTCACGAAACTTCCAATGAAAGCCCATGTCCTCCGTGATGTTTCTACCGTTGGCCGAAGTCATCTGTAGCCATGTTAGTCATATTTGAAGCCATCAGATGAAAGTCGCTCACAGTTAGAGCTCTCACAGTGCCATCGTCGCGAGGCTCATGGGACAAAATCAACACTGGGTGATTGTAGACCCCGGGTGACAGATCGGTGTCAAGTGAAGGGCTGATCTCCTCCTTTTTGGGCAGCCAAAGGATCTTGCCTGCCAACGTTTTGCCGTAGACGGGCTTGGCGCCGCCTGGCTGGCTCTTGGATGCCATCAAAGCGAGGTTTGGAGTTGAAAATCGTCGGCGAGGCGGATGAGGCTTGCAAGGTTGATATGAATCAGCAACCCTGGAGGTTGATAGTTTTTGGACGTCTGCCGGCTCGCTCCAAACGGTGATGAGAGCTGTGGGTCGAGATGTGGTTGGCAAGGTGTGACAATTGGAAGTGGGTTGGCGCCAAAAGGTCGGCTGCAAGTTTAGCACACCAACAGGAAAACATCAACCAATCAGATGCGCTCATTTCCAGGGCTTTTTGGCCTCGCTTTCAAGGAAGACGACGGCGCGTACAAAGGAGTGAGTAGTTGCGGAGAGGGACCAGTGGGCGTGAGGTTTCCTTCGGGTGGCTCAATCTAAGCTTAACCATAAAATAAACATCTTTGGCTCGTGGCACTTGAGCCAACATCTAGGTTCAAAACCTTATTCGAACAATGAATGCCAGGCTTTCTGTATTTACAAAGTTGATTTCCGATGCTCTGACCAAACAGATCAACCAGAATCAGGAGAGCATGGGCCAACCTTTCTCAACGAAGCTCCGTTCGCCAGCTCTTGGCCATCATCCAGCCCGATTCCGCAGAGGTTGTTGACGTGGACCTTGTATAGCTGACCGCCGCCAGGTCCTGTTGGGTCCTTCATTGCTGTGGTGGTGTCGAAGGGAATGCACTTGGTGTCGACGACGGCTTGGTTGACGTTAAGAAGTTCGATTGAGCAGGCGTCCTGTCGTGCAAAGACGACGCCAGCAAAAAGCGCCGCGGAGGCTGTGACTTGTGCAAGTCTCATACTGAAAGACTCGAGAGTTGTTGATTGATTTCGGTCCCTTGGTCTCAATGAATTTGAAAGGCTGATATTGAGGGAACGAGCAGGCCAACCTGTGACACTTGCTGCTCAACCGATCGATTAGATGAAGGTGAAGAGTGGCAGTAATTGTACTGAAAGCCTTAGGAAGGGGATGCCGAGCTGTGGTGTATATGTACAGGCTGTGAAATAGGTAACATGACTCAAGATGCTCAACATCCCCATTGATTTTCGCGACTCGATCCAGACCGTATCACGGCTTGGCCGAACCATTCCCTCGGAGCTGTGGGTCCACGCACTGGGATCTAGAGTAATCTGTGGCAGAAACCCTCCGGCTCGGGAGACGCGTACTTCGAGACCAAGCGGAGAATATGTCATCTCCCCCGACCGAAACTTGGTGCCGGGTATATGATCCTAGCCATTGAGGGCGAGTGTCCGCGACACAACGATAAAAGACATCTACGAGTAGCTTCGGGCGCAGAATTGTCTTCCTCCAGGTGATGGGAGATATCGACAGCCTCGCAAATGTCCAAGTCCCACTCATTCCTGAAGTTGACGCATGACCTTACGGCCTGATTTCAGGAGTCCTCGGCGTCTTCAGCGTTCACGTCAAACCAGCCTAATGAACTCTATTATAATTATCGTGTCAGTGCCACCCATGTTCGTCTATTGTTCTTCCTACATCCCTGTTCATTTAGATGATCGCCAGCCTCTCAGTTTCTGCATTGATTAGTATTAGGCAAGTGAAATGGTCCTCTTCAATATGGTGCTAAAAGTGCTATCTGAGGTACTGTCACATCTACGGGTGAAGTTCGTTGAATACTTCTTCGTATGATTTCCAACTTACGATCGATGAAACTGTCTTGAATTACTCTCTACCAGAATCTATCTAATTGATGCGTGCAAACTGTTGGGGGGAAAAGACGATAACACATTGCAGTTACTACCGAGATGAAAGTATCCAGAGGAGGTGTTTTCCCAATGCAGCAGAGTGAATGAACAATAACGCCTCTATGGACTTTCAAACGGCAGAATTATGATACATCATACAGACCAGACGGCAGGCGATGAGAGAGTATGAACAGTGCAAGTTGTTCACACAGGCGGGTCTCACATCGCAAGCGGGCGGAGTTCCCAATCGAGAAGTTCCATAGGCAGCATAGAGTCCATCGTCGGAGATGGGCCGCTCAGAGAGACCTTATTCTCTTTTTAGATGCTGATTAATCAGCAAAAAGCAGCCGCACATGAAGTAAGATCAAGCGGAGCCGGGGTTAGTAAAGACACTTCCCTGCTAACTGGAGATGATGGATCAAACTCAGGAGCTTTGGCCAGTGAAGCCGCTCGAAAGTTTCTTCCTGTAAACTGTTCAGAAACTCGTGTAAGCGACAGCCCTTTCCAGTCTGAGTCTCTAAGGCTCCTGAATCGCCAGGTTTGATGTGGGAGCCGGAATGAGGCTCCACAGATAGACAGCGAGTCTAATGTCTACAAGCCTACCTGCAGACTGTCTACAAGATGGTGTTAGAACTGGAACTGGTATCGCCCGTGTGGGCCGGCCATGATGGGTTGCACAAGAAGTCTTGAAACTCCATGTGTGAAGTCATCATGCTGTCGTTGCACTTTCCTTGATATCCCGAAAAGCACACGAGCTCCAAAATGGCAGCACAGGAAATGAGTCAGGTCGCAAGGCCAATCCAGTACACCGGCATGTCGACTCCGCAGCGCCGTTTCTTGGTACTCATTCTCAATGTTGTTACGACAGCTCCGCTACTTTGGGCGCATTTCATCAGTTGCACTCAACCAAGAGCCGACTTCCTCGACATTCTCATCCTTATTTGTGCTACAATTTTTGTTTCATGGCCCGTCATCACGTTCTGGAATACGTTAATCGGGCTCTGCATAGTTGCTTTTGGCAATGCCACCAAGTCCATCTACCCCTACTTCGAAGCCGACGGTCCCTTTCCAGAACTTGCCTCCAAGACAGCTCTGACGATCTTTATGTGAAATGAGGACCCGGAGCCAGCGTTCGCCCACCTTCGGATCATGCACGAAAGTCTTCAGGCTCCTCCCCATCGAGACAGAAAGCTACTAAACCAATCCGCCCACCTGCCTCGACTATCTCCGGCGGGAATTGCGCTGATGCTAAGATACAATGCAGTACTGGTTCTTACTGAACGAGCCTGTCCTGAATCCTATCACCCGCTTTCAGGTCTGCCAGGCCATCACCACATAACTGTCTCAGGCTTGCTGGGTTGTAACGACACTGGCTTACATTTGGAAAATCGCGCTTGGTGGGGTTGAACAGAGCCAGGGTTATCTTGGCTTCACCCCACAGCTGATTCTCGTCGTAGTTGGCTGCTTCCCCAAGATTGCCGGCCTTCTTGACACCACGATGACTTCTTTCAAGCGCTACGGAGGGATCTATCATTGTTTGCTGGCCGGACTGGCGGAGTTCATTTTGATGACTTTAATCGGGCCTGCGACCGCTGTGTTCGTTGCGGTCTTTCTCATGGGCTTGCTTATGGGAAAGTCTATCAGCTGGGATGGCCAAAATCGCAACCGACTAGGACTCAGTCGGTACGAAACCTCTCGTGTACTCTGGCTGCAGTTTCTAATTGACATCAGCTGCGCGGTAGCTCTATAAGTTAGATCGAAGGGTACCGAATCCATGACGTGGGCTCTGCCATTGGTAGTCAGACTGTGTCTAAATGTGCCATTTGCTGTCATCACAGCATCTCCGGCCGTATCATGACGCGTCTTCAATGGTTCATGATACCTGAAGAGTCAAATATGCCTGCGCTGCTGTCTGTGCTTGTTGACCCGGAAATAGCTTCCATCAATCCAGCCAGTCACGGGAAACGCAAGCAGATATTAGAAGACCTCATCTCTCGTCCAGATCATGATGAATCTGAAGTAGAGTGAGGACTTGTCAGTAGTCTCTTTCTGGTGGAAATGTATAGCCTGTCTCTAGACTAAGGCTCGGTGTATTAATTAATAAAATAAGACATCGGGCAGTGGCTATTGTGAATGAAGACACGAGAGGTTACTTGCAAAGCCTCAGACGATGCTCAGTTCAATGTCAAGAATAGACGCAATAACTTATATGTGACGTTCCATGGCAAGCTATCTATACCCGACTAGGAAGTTGAGCTCGTCCTGAGGTAACATCAACATCAGGATAGAGTGGGGCGTTGCGGTTCGTTCGGTCGAGCATGCGCCGTGGAAATGAGGAGAAGCCTGGGGTGGTGAGGGGAAATTCTCCGTCATGAGTGCATGCATATAAACATTAAATCGGATATACCCCCATGTTTGGAGAAGCAGGTAAGGCATGATTCAGAACCACCCGGTCGAACAACATTACGACAAGCACTCTGCTCGCGACGCAACGGCCGAAACACCATTATTGTAAATGTATTTCCATACATCTGACAATTGTTTGGATGACTTGGAGCAATGATTGGTCCTCTTTGTCGTCAGTGGCTTCTCGTAGCCGCATGCCTCATCCTGGTCATTAGCCCGACCAGGGCACAGGCGCCCCCCGATGCCTACCTGCAGACTCCAGTGCAGCGTCAGCTCGACTGGCATCGGATGGAATACTATGCGTTCATCCACTTCGGACCCAACACCTTCACCGACGAAGAATGGGGCAGGAGTCAGCAGCCCCCCGACGTCTTCAACCCGACAGCGCTGGACACGGACCAATGGGCCAAGTCGTTCGCCGATGCAGGCATGTCCGGCATGATATTGACAGCGAAGCATCATGACGGCATGGCGCTGTGGAACACCACCACCACCAATTACAAGATTGCCAATGGCAGCTGGGCCAAGAATCGCTCCACAGCTGAGTTGGAGTCTGACGTGGTCCGTATGGCTGCCGCCTCGGCGAAGAAGTATGGTCTCAAGTTTGGGGTGTACTTGTCACCCTGGGACATTCACCGCGACCCAGCTATGCCGAAGCCTTTGCTCAATGGCACCATTTACGACGAGCCGCAAATATTTGGCGATAATAACGACGGCGACTACAATGACCTCTACCGCCGCCAACTCACGGAGCTGGTGAACATGACTCTGACGGACGGAGGCCCTGTATCGCTCTTCGAGATCTGGCTTGACGGCGCCAGCGGCTCTAGCACTGTCCAAACCTTCGACTGGACAGGCTTCCGCGACATCATCCGCACGCATCAACCCTCAGCGATCATGTGGGGTCACCAAGGTGTGGACGCTCGATGGGTGGGCAATGAGGACGGCGTGACGGTGCCCACCAACTGGCACACCATCAGCCGGACGCAGGACCAAGAGCGCCTCAGCGAGGCGGATCTGCAAACAGGCCTCCGGGATGGACTGTACTGGACTCCGGCTGAGGCTGACGCCAGAGTGCGGACTGGTTGGTTCTGGCACGCCAACGAACAGCCCAAGACGGGACAGCAGCTCTTGGACATGTACTTCCAGTCTGTGGGGCGAAGCGTGAACCTCCTCTTGGACGTGCCACCGGACACCACAGGGCAGATAACTAAGGAGGACAAGGATGTCCTAATGGAGTTCAAGCGTCTCAGAGACAGCTTTCTTGGCCGCAACCTAGCCACTCCTGATTTAGAAGTCACGGCCAGCAGTGTCAGAGGTGGGAACAACTCTACATTTGGCCCTGCAAACGTCCTGAGCTCCTCAACCGATACCTACTGGACCATGAATGATGAGGAGCGCACAGGCTGGTTGGAAATTGATCTGGGTACCACGGCTCGCGTCGAGGCTTTCATAATTCAGGAGCACATTGCCCTGGGTCAGCGGGTTGGCGGATACGCCATTGAATGCCTAATGGATGGAGCGTTTGAGAACGTTGTCAACGGCACGTCTCTGGGCTACAAGCGCATCAATAGGCTCGGTAGCGCGATGGACACCAGCCGAATTCGTTTTCAGGTAACACAGGCAAACGCGGTGCCTCTGATACAGAGCATTCAGGTTCTTGGCACCAAAACTTAACCGCTCAAGGGACGAAGGCGGCACATGACAGTATAAGTCGGACTAATTCCAACTTCTGCTGAATCGTATCTGTTGTTATTGGTACAATGACTGCTCTTTTTGACGTTTGCACATTTTTTCTTGCCTATGATTAAATCCGTACATACGGGGAAATACAATCTGCAGCTGCCGAAGCAGTGTGAACTCTAACGTCGCAAATCACCATCAACTTTTGCGTAGATGGACTATTGATCAAGATTTTGGTTGATGCTAAATATCTATATCCATCAACTTATGATAAGCATCAGAGTTAAGGACACTCATAATCGCAAATGCCGAAGCATTCTTTAGTAAACAAAAATGTTCGAGAAATCATCCTTCCATCTAACCAACAACTCTCTCATCTTGGGTCAATCGCCTTGAAGCCTGACTTGGTAGCATTCAACACTATATCTATATGAGAGATCGAGAGCATCTCATCCATCTCCCTGGCAACAATCCTAGCGCTACTGAAGATGTTTTTGATCTGCACTGTTAGCTAACGATGTCGTTTGAACTGGAAGAGGAACACACTCACTTTCCTACCATTGATCTCCATTTTTGCCAGTCGGGAAATGTCTTCTTCCGTGATCTCCACCGTGGCGCCATGTGGTGTGTCCTTGATCTTCCTCAAGAACGTCGCCCATATCTTTCTTCTGGCAGATTCGTCTAGTTCAGGGTACACAATTGGAATGTGAATTCTGCTCTCAAACGCAGCATCGCACTCTGAAGCTCGGTTGGTCGTCAAGATGAGTATTCCCTGATAGTACTCGAGTTGTCTTAGAAAGATGCTCACAAGAGCATTCCGTTGGATGTCTGCGGAATCTCTCTTTTGGAGAAAGACATCAGCCTCGTCGAGCAGAAGTACTGAATTCCACTTGCGAGATAATTCCATAATCTCACTAAGCTTCTGATCTACATCCGTAGGCCGAATGCCCAGATCTCCCGCAGACACACTGTAAAGAGGCTTTCGGGTAATTTCAGCCACGGCCTCTGCGGTTAGGGTCTTACCGCTGCCGGGAGGCCCACTGAAGAGACAGATGATTCCTTTGCCCTTGCCAGAAACTATGTCGTCAAGGCCGTCGCCTTGGGAAGAGTGCTGCTTGACCAGGGAGCGAACAAGTACTTTGGTTGGCGCTTCTAGGACAAGGTCCTCGAAGGCCTCATGATTCCATTCAACATCGACGAGACGAGACATGGCAAAAGCTCCTATTTTAAGACAGAGTTAGCTTAGGTCTACATTCCTAGAGGGTTATAATTCAGAAATGCCTCGCTGCAACGTACCCCATCTCGAGTTGCTAAAACAGAATCCAAGCATTACTGGGGTGGAGATGATAAGCTGCTCTTCAGTTAGGCTCTCTCGACGAAGCTTGGCATGTACCTCTGGCAGGAACGTGATATTTGGGTTCACAGATCGAAAGCCGGCTACATCAATAATTATCCTTCCATGCGAAGGAAACTTAACTTATGTCGTAGCCACTCAGCCACTTATGGCTTCATAGCTTCGTGTGGCATAGGCGTATTTAATACGCCTTCGCCTTATATCCCTATTTCTAAGAGATTAGCCTGTTTTTTACCTATTTCTATAACCCCTACTATATAATAGTTATAAGCCTAGCTCTTAATATGATACTTTATACCCCCTAATATACTATAAAGTAAGCTATAGCTTAATATAGTTTATCTTTTATCTTATAATATCTTTTTTAATAGCTTAATAGTAGCTAATTAATATATTCCTTATAAAGTAATATAACTAGCCTATATAGTTTATATAACTATACTTCTATATATTTTAGAATAATATATAGGAATATATTAACCCTTATAGTGAGGAGGTACTTAATTTAATATAATAAGTACTATACCCTCCTATATTTAATAAACTATATATAAAGTAATAAAAAGAGGTTTAATATAAATATATCTAACTTTATACTAACTAAACTACTTATTACTATACTTACTAGCTAAACCTTATTAATATTAAACTACTACTATTATTTATATTTATAATTAAAAATATTTAAAAAGAGTATATAAGATATATTATAAACTATAAGATATAAGTTANGTTATAAAATAAAAAGAGTTTATTATAAGTTACTACTTTATTTAAAACTAAATTTATATTATAGTTAATTATAAGATATTATTAATAATATAAAGTAACCTTATCCTTATTAGGAATATCTTAATTTAAACCTTTATTTATATACTTAAGAATTACCTTATATTAATAATCCTCTCTATAGTTACTACTATATAAGATAACTACCTTACTTTACTATAAAAAGCTATAGTAGTAATAAATCTAAAGGTATAATACTAAGAGTAGTACTATATATATTAATATATATAAGTATATAAAATCCCTAAAGTTTAAAAAGTTCTTATTTTATATACCTTTTTAGAAATAATAAATAAATATCTTACCCTTATTTAAACTAAATAAAGCCTTATTAAACTTATTATAGCTAAAGAGACTAATAAACCTATATATAATATTATTAAGTATAAAGTAATCTTCTTTATACTCCTAAACTAATATATAAGTTAAGAAAATTAGTATAATATCTATATTATACTTAATAAGTACTTAAAACCTCCTTATTCTATAATTCTAGAAAACTCTATATAAAATAACCCTACTTTAAGTAGAAGTTATAGAGATAGTAATTTCTAAAAGTACCTATATAGTAGAGAGTATTAATAGTTAATTATAAAGTATAACTACTTAGAGATAATATTATAAAGTAAATAGACTAAATATAAAACTTATTTTATAGCTAATAAAAAAGAGATTATTCTAAAAGTACTCTTAAAACTAAAGTAAAGCTATCTTTAAAACTACTTCTAAAATAAAAGATAAATTATAGAAGTATTATATCTATTATAAATATTACTATAGTTACTTTTAGATATAATTATATAAAATAATATTAATCTATAGAGATTATCCTTAATAGAGATTATAGTAGAATAGTACTTTAAATCTTATTACTTAGGTGATATTAATCTATAGAAACTACTTTTAGTAGAGATTATAATAAAATAGTACTAATTTATTAGAGGATAGAGGTAATAATAAAGCTAATCTATAGAGATTACTCTTAATAGAGACTATAGTAGAGTAATATTAATACACTATTTATTAGAGAGTGAGGTAAATAAGCCTCTTTTTATTTATATATAGCTTTATTTTATAGCTTTATATTATAGATATAAAGCTAGGGGGGTATATTATAGCTACTTAGCTACTTATAGTTTCATGGCTTTATATAGCATAGGCGTATTTAATACGCCTTCGCCTTATATCCCTATTTCTAAGAGATTAGCCCGTTTTTCACCTATTTCTACAACCCCTACTACGCGACAACTTGATAAGCCTCCCAGCGATTAGTTCGATTTTCGAACATGGCTGATCCACTCGTCTCTATTACCTGAGGCTCGCGGAACGTTGCAAGACGACGTCCACGGTCCAGTGCAGTAGCACGAACATCCGACATCTTCTCGTGGTACTTCAGAGGGAAGACACGCAGATCTGCAATTTTTCGGGCCCCAGTGAATTGATCAATTACCGCGACCATTGGCTCGGATGCCAGGCCAAACTTGATACCATCGTCTGCTACGATGTGACACTCTAGGCGCCAAAAGATTGAATTGTCCTGCCGCTTCACTTGACTCATGGCACGCAACTTGAGGACCTGGTCTTGTTCAGTCAATCGATGATATCTGTAGACCAGGATGTTGGGTGGAAAGATTGCCCACATGAGGTCCCAAGTAATCTCGCCGGCGTCGACTAATCGTTCGAGGTTGTCCATATTAATGGCGTGCTCACTCTTAGCAAACATCACAGTTTCTGCTAAGTCTGATATGAGCTCCTCATCCCTCGGTTCGGAATGCCTCGCTGTGTCTAACCGCTCTTGCAGCGCCAAGAAATTGTGAAAGAAAAGCTCAAGTGGGACCTTTGACATTCCCTTGTCAATACAAAATAAGGACAATTTCTGGGCATATAACCAACTCACAACTGGTGGGTTCCTATTTGGCGATATACCCTCGACGTCCGTGTTGATCTCCTGTATGACCTGAGAAATGCGTTTGGATTGGATATCCACTTCAGTCCTGATGTGAACGCCGTTGTCGTCCATGAGTCTACGGACTCTCAGAATGGCCTTGCGACTATTCTGCTTCTTGGCATCGGACTTGACTGATTTGATCAGACGGACTTGGCTAGTGCGACTGACATGGCGAAAAGGGTCAGTTTCATGATATTTCATGCAGCTTCACCGTCTTCTACTTTTCACTAGATCTGGATACACATACAAGTCGTATCTGGAATCTCTTTGTTAGGACATGTTGCTGCAGTAGACTGAACAGTCACACGACGTCACTTACACTTCATCATAACGCAGAACTCGACTCCTCTCTCTGGATTCGGGCTTGGCTCCATCGCCCTTGTTGACGGCGTCACTATCAAAATTGCTCATATCCAGTGTTGCTTATCTTGTTGCTTATCTTGAGGTGGGGCAATGAACCAAGTACTGAGCTGCAGGCGATTCGGCAATGATATTGCATATGTGAACAACCAAGCAATTGGCGTAGTAGACGATGAAGACGCAATTAGACCATTGGTACTTGAAGGGAAAGGGAAAGACTTACCATCTACCGGACAAGAGAGCAGAGAGTTAAAGTAACATCGAACTAGTTTTGCTTGGTAGGGGTAGTGGCTGTTTGCCTGCTTCTGCCTGCCGGCGTACCTTGAGGCTGACTGCAATCTAATTACCACCACCAAACGTTGTCACCCTCCGGAATATGTAACAGCTGAAGGTCTGATCTGTGACATGTATTACGTGGCATGCGGCTATTGGAGTTTGGGGCTGACTGCAGGTCATCTGAGCAGGTATCGCCTGTTGCGGAATCTCATTGGGCCGCTTCATGCGCAGGCCACGTATGAGACTGCCAATGATGTGTGCTCTGCGGTCAGCTTGAGGCTTTGCATTCCCGTGAGCCGTTGTACCAGGTTGTTCAACAGGTCCAGAGCCACGCACTACATTGCCTAGCAGTGTGGGGGTTTTGGTTCGCGGTCCATTTTAAGCTGCTCCATACACATTAGACACTCGACCCCTTTGGTATATTCCATCTTAGTTTTGCTCAACTCTTACAAGGTGCGGGTAATTTTCCATTTCGCGTTCCTCGCCGCATCCATACACACACCAAAAAAAGGGAGTCGCCCACGTCGGCAATGGACCCTTTCAGTCTCACCGTTGGAGTGATTGGCATATTGACAGCGGTGCAATCATGTCTCAAGACTATCAACAAGAACTTCGGTCCCTCGTCTATGTCATCTGAAGAGATCCAAGGCATGATGAACACTCTGTGGGAACTCATTGGAGTAATGGAAAGTCTCAAAACATATCACCAGCTACATGGCGACGATGACGATCGAATGACATCCCTCAAGCCCGTGATGACCCGCTCACGCGAGGCCATCCAGATCATCGAGGACTACATAAGTAGCGGGCGGTGGGAAAGGTTTCTTCACGGAGTCAAGTTCGACAGAAAGCTGAAGATAGCGCTGAGAGCTCTCGACGACACCACTAAGATTTTCCGCATGGCCCTGGTATCAGACCAACAGTAAGTGCACTGATACTAACCACAAGAGACTCAGATCGCTGAATGGGAATGCAGTACTATCATGCAAGAGGTGAACAATTATCTTCATATGCTAGGTGATGATGTCAGGGGGGTCCAGGCTGCTCAGACCAATGTCCAACGAGGTACCTATAGTGCACCGTATGGCAACCTGAACACCGGATGGCGCTGACGTCCTCCAGACCATGCATATAGCGACGTCATCGATTGGCTTGAGGCAAAGTCAGACAATAATTTGAATAGCCAGATTCACGAACGAAACTTGTCCTTACGAGATGTTGGTAGTGGAAGCTGGCTTGTGCAGCAAGCTACTTTCCAGAACTGGCTATTAAGCACTAACGAAAGTGAGTCGAAGTCAAAGATATGGCTCACAGGCTCACCCGGAGCCGGAAAGTCGACTCTTTGTTCTACTGCTATAGAGTACGTCTCGACAACGCTACGCGGGGTTTGTTTCTACTATTTTCACCGTTTTGATGACCAGTACGAGTCTGGCGACCGCAACAGGGTGAAGGCAGCAACCGCTCTGTTTGACCAGTCGGAGTCTGGCCACCGTAGCGGAGTGAAAGCAGCAGCGGCTCTGGTAGACCAGTTGTTCCGGTATTTCTACAGGAAGGATGAACGAATGGCGACGTATGTAAGCAACTATGTCAAGACGGAGGAGAAGAACCTGGCCTCTTTGGCAGAGACTGCTCGCCTCATTATCAAGTACGCGTACGGTAGCGACAAAGAGGATGGTGGGCTCACAGCCGCGGACCAATTTGCTATCCACTATTTCCTGGACGGGGTAGATGAGGAAAAAGGGGCAGATGCAGCCAAAACTATTATCGAGCTATTGCATGGCCTTGATGAAGCCGTGCCTGTGGTCCAGAAGATTTGGGTCAGCTCTCGGCGAACAAACATCCTAGCACGATGTTTGACCGACTACACAGTCATCAACTTAGACGAACACGGGAGAAGTGACGTCGAAAGCTTTCTGATACGTAGAGTACCAGAACTTGATGAGAGCTGGCTGAGAGCTGAAACGGTGGAAGGCAAGCCAAGTAAGTTCCCTTTTCCATGTCGTCCTTTGCCGCTACCAGACGTCACTAATCCCAGTAGTTACTGAGTGGGTACTACAAGAAGTACAGGCAAAGGCGAAAGGAAACTTTCTCTATGCTAGACTAATTGTGGATTGGCTGAAAGACCGTGTGTTCACTATTGATGACGTCGCAGTCTTTATCAAATCTAGAGTACCCGATCACTTCGCCGAGATTTACCACCGAATTTTCCGCCAATACTACCAAGAAGATCAACACAAATACGTCAGGTGTGTAAGAGTAATATACACTCCTTGCAATATAGTGGGAATTCATATAAATTTAATCTTTTCATTGCAGTCTATTGTTCTCACTCATTGCCTTCGCCCGGCGGCCTTTGCGCTGGCATGAGCTTCGAGAAGCTATGGCCCTGGCCTTGTCAGATCCCACAAATGGGGTCAACCCCCGAGCAGTGCCAAACAATCTGCAACGACTATTCGCCCCACTGATCGAAACGCAAGAAGACCCCACTAATCCAGAAAATCCACTATGTCGTCTTTGCCACTCCACTGTCCAGGAATTCCTGGCCGCGAACCCCGACGTACTACGTTCCGGCACCTTAGGCCGATTTCCCACTACGTCTCTCATCGCCGCTTCTCGGGTGGGCCACATATATCTTCGTTATCTTTCTCAAGCAAAGTATTCAACATTAGTGGATCTCTCGCGAAGTGATTGTCTCGGAACACTCACTCTCTCATACGACGACGCCCAACAACACGGTCTCTTACCATATAGCGCTGAGTACTGGGACCGACACCTGGAAGATTTGGCGCCGACGCCAGCAATTTGCAAGGAATTGATTGAATTTTTGAGTTCCCCAAATTTTCAAACCCTAATTCAAGTACAGAGTTTGTTTGTTTGGGGGCATTTTGAACAGTTCAGAGCTGAAGGCTCCGCAACAACGTGCAGACCATTGTACAGACGGGCAATACCTCGGTGGTTTGGACCAGATTACGCCTCTAGAGACTTCGCATATCTCGAAGATTCGCGAAAGATTCGGCGTGACTACAGACATTTTGCAAACGAATGGGGGCACCTGCTTAACCTTGGTAATTGTGAAACTTCCAAGTCGGGAAAGTGTCTAACGGAACACTTTTGGGGAGAGGTTGACAGGTGTCTGACGAGCCTTCTTGGGCCAACACACTTCATGGCTCGGATGAAGGAGAGGTATCAGAGCTTCATGCTAACATGTGTGCCATTCGAGTGCGGTATGTGTAAACGATTCATTATTGCCGACACTGTCTCCCCATGTGGCTCTCAGTATATTGTGATGTCTTCACCGTCAGAGTAAGTACTCCATTTCTGACTGCGTTGAAATGATCTTCGATCAATCGATACCATCATCACTAACGGTTGCTTATGAATAAAGAAAGTCGCCACAAGTTTCTCTCGAAACGTGGGATCTTAAATCTCCCCATGCTCCTCAATGTGTCTCGGTCACCCCTGTCACTCCGGCCAACATCGATTTCAAGTCGGATAATGCACGGCCTATTGCATTCTCTCACACGGTCGCCAAATTCGTCTCAGCTAATCGCGATGGTGATGCCAGGAGCATCTTGGACCAGCATAAGGCGCACCGAAATTTCGAGCCTCTTTCGACCGAGTTTGACATGCGGGACGAAATAGTGGTCATTGCTAGCCGCAACGCGCACAAACGAGCCCACAAAGCGGAACCCCAAGGAGTTAACAGTCCATCAGTAAAAGTAGTCGACGTGGAGAACGATTCGGACAGTGATTTCGCATGGACCGAAAGTGGCAGTGACTCGGACGATGAATATTCATCCGACTTCACTGACGAGAACTCGGCTTGTGAGACATGCAGCGAGGGATCAACATGCTTTGGGTCTGATGATTCAGATAGTGAGAAAAGTGAGATAGAAGCTGAACATTCGCTTTCTGAGTCGTCGAAACAGGATGACGAAGATGAGGACGAGTGCGATCTGCAGTCGACTGACGATAAAGACGAAGATGAGGACAACTGCGTGTCGGATTCGACCGACGATGAAGAACGCCCCGAGCCAGCAGGCGCTCCCGGTGGCAGGCCCATATTCAGGCCTCAAAGACTGACAGAAAGCGAGCTTGAACTTGAGGACGAGTCGCACAGAAAGAAAGAAGACGATCGCCCAATGTATCCGGATATGCCAATCCGCTTAATTCAGCCGAATGATCGCATCAAAGCAAGCATCGAAGTCTATGATTGCAAACCCGGACAGAATGTACGGATGTTCCGCTACGAGCACGAAACTCCCGCAACAGGCATGATGTACCACTCACCTCCGGTACTGCATCCGCACAAATCACTAGTAGTGTGGCCACTCGGTGGCGGCGAAATACTCTTCGCCGACTATGCTGAGAAGAGCTACTTTATCCGAGCGGCTTTGCCCACAACACGCGATAGTAAGTGATCCTGACTGGAGATGCTCTCCTACTGAATAGCTATTCAGCCCGCCACATCTGCATAAAAATCCGCTTCTCACCCTGCGGAAACTTCCTTCACATCGCCAGCGTCGAAGGACGACTACTCGATTCGAAGCTAACGAATTCTACGTCCGTTCACCAAGACAATACCAAGAAGCGCGAAATTGTGCTCTCCCTCGTTCTCGCCACCTACCGTCTTTCCGCACGCAAGACGACCCGGAGTCTTCCACGGCTTGTCCACCAAGTAAAGCTCATCGTTGGCCAATTTACCGGCTTATCGCTTGCGAGGCTACCATTCACATTCACCTGGACCTCTGAACATCTTTACTTTACGGTCAGCGGGATCCGATTAAACGTCTTCCGCATTAATCTGTTTAGGCAGCTGACCAAAGCTCCTGCCGGCTCTGTCACCACTCCTAAAATGCCTGTGATGCTTCCACTATCCGCATCTGGCAGACAAGTATACTATATCCCTTCATCGGGGAAAGATGAGTCTCGGGGAAACACAGGGCGAGGTCTGGTATTAATGAGCAGCTATTCCGCTAGCCATCAGCCTGTGCAATTAGGTCACAGATCAAGACGAGCCACAAGACAGGGATTGGGCAGCGCTCCATCGTATTGGCTATACGACTATGGTTGTCCAGCAATCGGATTCTTCGTTGATGAAGAGAAAGACCTGGGCGGATGGGCTGGGATTGAAATCGACGGGGAAGGATACGAAGGTCTAGGCGTGAAAGCGAAAGGTCGTAGACGCAAGCGATTTAGGGAAGGAAAGCTGATACGAAAAATTAAGGTGTTTAACTGGCGAGAAAATGTCGACTTAGAAGGTATTGAAATGGTCGTAGGCCCGGCGGCTGAGAGCTATACGACGTAGCAGCACTTACGCACCTAAGGGCGTATAGAGCTACTATAGCTACATAACTCTACAATTTTAAGGCTTATAATTTTAAAAGAAAAAAGAAAAGACTTTTTATTTATTTTATAGATCTAAAATAAAAAGAATAGGATTAAAAGCTTAAAAATCTACTAAAAAATAAGTAAATTCTATTTTTAATCTATATAGATTAATAATAATATCTAAGCTAACTTCTTACCCCTTAAAGGAAGCTAGTAATCTAACCTCTAAATACTAAAAATACTAAAAAATTTAATAAGTTTATTAAACTTTATTCTAATTATCCCTAATTATTTTCCCTCTAGCCTTCTAAGCTAGAAGATAATTCCCTATATATTTATATATATATAAGAATACTATATTTACTAATAAAACCTATAGTAAGTATTTTTATAATCCTAAGCCTCTTTTACTTCTCTTATATAAATAGTATTCTATTTAAACTTTAATTTATAATATACCTATCCTTACTATCCTCTTAATCTTAAAAATCTATAAATATAAATCCTAAGTAATATATAAACTTCTATCTAAATCTAAAAATTAATATATTAATTAATATATACTACTTAATTAATTACTATTAGTTTTAGAATAAATTACTTAAGAGGGTAAGTAGGATAATTACCTATAGTTATAAAGTTTTAAATAGGAACTAAAGACTTATATAATAGTAGAATAGAACTTTTATAGCTAGAAATTATAAATATAAATTTACTATAATTATTATACCTCTCTAAGATTAAAAAGCTAGAAAGTAAGTTTTCTAATAGAAATAAAATAGTAACTAGAGACTAAACTAATATTATAAATACTTAAAGTAAGTTTATTAATAGGGGTAGATTAAGAGGTTATTTTAAGGATAGTTATATAGTTCCTTTCTTAGCTATCTTACTTAAGTAAACTACTACTATCTATATTATAAGATAGAGTAAGAAGTTTTTATAAATTAAATTATATCTATAAAACTTAGTAGTAATCTATAACTTATACTTACTAACTAGAGGTAAAGAGCTTTAGTAATAGAAGCTCTTATTAGTAGTAGTATTATTACTAAAGTAGGTATTAAGAAGTCTTTTTATAATAAAGTAGTAAACCTAATTAATATAGTAAACTTTATAACTATAACTATTAAGCTACTATATTAAATTAACTACTTAAGTATATTATAATAAGATAGTAATAAAGTCTTTAAGTACTTTAAATAGCTTATACTAAGTAGTAAAAGCTTTAATAGTATTAATAAATATAAGGGACTAGATACTTAGCTAGAGGGCTTAAGGATAGCTTAACTAATAGAGGCTAAATAGATAGGAAGGTCTATAAGTTTAAGGTATAGAACCCTCTATAGTAAGGACTTAGTAAGTACTTACTAAAGACTAGAAAAAGAAGAAACTTAGAAGAAGTAAGTAAAAGTAGTATAATAATACTATACTTACTTTTTAAGTACTTCTTCTATTAGTTTAACTTAATTATAGCTTATAGCCTCTAAATACTTTTATAATTCTTTTACTTCTACCTTACTTTAGGAAGGTTAGTAATAATAATAGTACTATATACTTAAGTAATACCTACTAATTAAGCTAAAGAAATTATACTTAGTATTTACTAAGTATTAAGCGAAATAGCTTATATAAGCCTATATAGGGAAGATAACTTTAGTAAATAATTAGAGAATAATATAAGTTAATAAAGAGAAGTGAGAAGTTATACTTTAAGTAAGGCTAGAGGCCCTAAAGAGGATAGGCTACTTATACTAAATACTTACTAATTAGGTAGTAAGTATATATAGGAGAATAAGGAATATAAGACCCCTCCCTATAGATTAGATAGGCTATAGAGCTAGATATCTATAGCTATAGCTAATAGACTAACTTAAACTAAAAGGCTAGATAAAGTAACTAGCTAAATACTAATATAATAAATTATAATTATAATAGCTAACTAGAATAAGCTAATTACTATTATATTAAGTAACTAAGTACTTACTAAATAATTACTTAAAGTTTATAAGAAACCCTTAAATTATAATATAGCTTACCTTATTAGTAAATCTATTAATATAGAAAAAGAAGATTAGCTTATTATAGTAGAGGAGGTTTATAGGTATTACTTTAGCTACTCTAATAACTAATATATCTAATAGGCTTTAAGTATAATAAAGTATACCTTATAAATAGAATAGTAAATTTATTAGTAAACGTTTATAAATATATTAAGGAAATAAGTTAACTTTATATAAAATAACTTTAGGATCTTTATAAGAAAGTAGTATATAGTACCTAAATTCTAAGAATAGAATTATTATAATACTTTAAGATAGTATTATTAGAAAGATAATAAGAAACTTATTATATACTAAGCTTATTAGGAGTCTATTAACTAAGCTCTTAATAAGCTAAATATAGGTAATATAAAGGCTTATATATTTTTTTAAAGTTTTACTAAAACCCTAAAGGATAAACTCTTTAAATAAGATATTAATTATACTAATATATATATAATTACTTTATATATATAGAGATTATAGGAGATTATAGAAAAGAGGTATATAAAAAGGCTTACTAGTTACTCTAAGTTATATAAGTAACTATATTTAGACTTCCTAAACTACCCTTATAAAAGTAGTTTATAACCCCCTTAATTAGTAGATCTAAAAGAGCACTATCTAAAAACCTTATTTTAGAATAACTATCTAGTAAACCCCTATATAACGCCTAGCTCTAATAGTAAGCTACCTAACCTCTAGGGAACTTAATACTATAATTATAAGAAATATAAGTATATTTCCTCTAATTATATTAAACTTTATATATAGCTTATAGGTAGTAACTAAAACCTAAACCTAAGAAGGAGTAAGATTAATACTATTATAGTTTCTTATATAATTAATACTAAAAATTTAAGAAATAAGTAGGTATAGAGGTAACCTTAAGGGGTATTATACTAGAAATCACCTTAATCCCTATAAGCTAAACTATTAAAAGTTAGGTAATTATACTCTAAGTATATAATAAGCTTAAGTTAGTAGTTAATATAAATACTTATACTATAGTTAACTTTATATAAAAAGACTTTATTAAAAAACTCTTATTAAAAGAAGCTATTAGTATTATAGCTTTAAAGCTAATAGACTTCTAAGGGAGATTTATACTTACTAATAAGGTTTACTAGCTTATATTCTTCTTAATTAATAACTAAAGCTACTTATAAAAGATTTACTAAGTATTTATAGCTAGCTTATACCTTAAAGGGGTAGGAGATATCTTTTTATCTAATAACTTAATAAGTAGAGAAAGTATCTATATAGATACCTATATTTATATTTAGTTATATAACTATATCTTACTTACTAAGTTAGAAGTAATAGTATAAGAAATTATTAAGAATAGTTAGAAGGTTTATATAATATATCTAATAGGAGCTTTAACTTTAGATAAGAAAGATATTAATACCTTAAGTAAATACTTACTAGAGAATAAGTATAAAAAGAAGATCTCTAAGGAACTTTAAATTTTTATAGATATTTTTAATAAGGAGAATATAAAAAAAGTCTTTAAACTAAAAGGAGTAATATATTATATTAAGCTTAAACCTAATAAAAAACTCCTATATAGGCTAATATACCTTATATTAGTAGAATAACTATAAACCTTTACTAAGTATATTTAGGAAATAGAGGTAACTAGATATATCTACTATTTAACTAGCTTTATAGGAATATTAGTTCTATTTATACCTAAAAAGGATAGTAATCTATAGCTATATATAGATTATAGAGGATTAAATAAAATTATAATAAAGAACTAATACCTTCTACTACTAATTAGTAAACTTTTAGATAAGCTTATTAGTATAAAGTTTATCTTAAAGATTAATTTAAGTAAAGCTTATTATAGAATTATAATTAATAAAGTAAATAGATAGAAGACTATATTTAAGACCTAATATAGGTACTTTAAGTATATAGTAATACTATTTAGGCTTATTAATACTTTAGTAATATTCTAAGTATATATTTACTAAATACTTACTAATTTTTTAAATACTTATTATATTATATACTTAGATAATATCTTAATCTACTTAGAT